CACTTGGAAATAAATGCATTAGAACAGCAGTCACCAACCTTTTTTGGACCAGGCCCCGCTTTTGTGGATGACATTTTTTTCGCGGACCAAGAGGGGGGGGAGGGGTGAATGTCTGGAGGTGTTAGGGGTGGTGAGGTGGCAGTGAGGGGATGTGTGACGTGTTGGCATTCTTGGTTTAGTGCTTTAAGCTCAGACTAATTTAAAGCCTGACCCTTAAAAGAACCATGTCATAAGCAAAGAGTAGAGTCTGTGTTCCTTTTGAAGGTGCATGTGTGAGGTGTTGGCGGTCTTGGTTTAGATATGCTTTAATCTCAGCCTAATTTAAAACCTGACCCTTAAAGGAACCATGTCATATGCAAAGAGTAGAGTCTGTGTTCCTTTTAAAGGTACATATCATCTGAAGGTCCTGTTGACCCTCTTTTCTTCGATACATCAAGTCAGTGATCTGGAACAAGTAGGGACTTTGAACTTTAGCTATATTGCTCCACATAGTTGGTCCAGTGATTCAGAAAATAACACTAAATAGATAAGAACCGGGAACCCAGAATTGCAGAAGGAAGTTAGGAAGATTGTATATGGCTTTAGGGAGGCACCTAAAGGAAGGCCTGGAAAGTTTGCATCTATAATAACTTAGGTTAGTGATAAAGGGTATAATTTCCGCTTCAAATCTACTTCAGAAGAAAGTCAGCAATAGCAACCCCAGTATTTCTCACATGACAGGTTTAGCTCAATCATAAGCCTCAGCCTAAACCTTACTATTTATGTTCTTAGAGCTAGAGAGCTAGGGTTGGGCTGTGGGGTTAGAGCTGTAGGGCTAAGGTTCTGGTTTGGTTGTGAGGTTAGGGCTTCATGGTCATGTTTGGGTTGTGGGGTTAGGGTTTTATTAGGGTAGGATTACAGAGCTGAGATTAAGGGTTACAGTTAGGTTGGGTTATGGAGTTAGAGTTTAAGGATGGACTATTGGGTTACAGTTGTATAAATAGGGTTGGGATGTGGGGTTAAAGCTGTAGAGCTAAAATTTTGGATTGGTTGTTAGGACTTCATGGTGGGTTTCGTGGTTAGGGTTAGATTAAAGTTGAATCTTGGAGCTGGGATTGCAGGGTTAGGGCTGAGTTTTGGGGTTAGATTCCTAGGTTTATTGTTAAGGTTTGACTATGGGGCTAGAGTTGAATAGTTAGGGTTGTGGAATTAGGGCTATAGGTCCAGGGTTTTTAGTTTGGTTGTGAGGTTAGGGTTTTATGGTTATAGTTGGACTTTGTGGTTTGGGTTTGATTAAGGTTGGGTCACAGTCCTGGGATTGCAGAGTTAGGGTTGGGTTACATAGTTATATAGTATTTGAGGTTGAATAAAGACACAGGTACATTGGTTTGGTTGTGGGGTTAGAGTCTTAGGTTTAGGGATATGGTTTGACTAACAGGCTAGAGTTGTATAGTTAGGGTTGGGTTGTGGGGTTAAGGCTGTAGGGCTACGGTTTTGGTTTGGTTGTAAGGTTAGGGTTTTTTGGTTATAGTTGAGGTTTGTGGTTAGGGTTAGATTAAGGTTGGGTCACAGTCCTGGGATTGCAGGGTTAGGGTTGGGTTGTGGGGTTAGAGTCTTAGGTTTAGGGTTAAGGTTTGACTAACATGATAGAGTTATGTAGTTAAGGTTGGGTAGTTGGGTTAGAGCTGTGGGGCTAAGGTTCTGGTTTAGTAGTGAGTTTAGGTCTCCATGGTTATAGTTGGGCTGTGTGGTTAGGGCTGCATTACATTTTGACTGGGATTGTAGGATTAGGGTTAAGGGTGGGTTGTAGGTTTACATTTTTAGGTTTAGGGTTATTACAACTGTAAGTTTAGGGCTGGATTGTGGTGTTAGAGATTTAGGGATAACATTAGGTTGTGGGTTTAGGTTTGGTGTCAGAGCAGGATACATAGCATAGTGATGATATAAATGTACTTACACATAACTTATAGGTGCCTAAATTTTTAAACCAAAAAGGTGCCATCATTAGGAAAACTGTTCTCCGGTCTGGACCAAGGCCTTCTGGAGTTACCACTGATACACGTTATCCTACAGCTACTCACTTTGAGCCATCTTTCACAAGGCCCGTCCCTCTACACCATCAGTATACTAAAGCAGGGTATATATTTTTGGTAAAACATTTTTATAGGTTTCTTTTACTGGCATAAAGAGACACCCAGCTTGTCTGGAAAGGGAGATTACATTATTCTTTTGTTCCGATCTGATTGGCATCAATTATCAGTGACCATGAAAGAATCCTCATTACATTCTGTAGTCTGAATACCTAAATAAATTAAATTATCAGATATGGAGATGAACATATAATTAGTTTTAACCAGTTTGTGGCCAGATGGCCAGGGCCAAGAGTGAGCTGGCATGATGAGTATTTTTGATATTAGCAAATGATAAAAAAAATCTAGGGTCTATTTAAACAGAACTGGTCACATGTGTTAAATGTATCATCTTATATAGAAAACTGTGCTTAGAATATGAATATGCAAAGTAATTATTATTTTATTATACATAATTTTGCATTTTCCAGCAGGTTTAGCCAACTTTTCTTTGTTTGGGTCTAACTCTAAACTGTTTGATCTCACACAGTGTCTCCCAGCTCCAGAGACTGCATGACAGTGTCAAATAACTTGCACTTGTTAACATGATGGGAGGACAACAACTGTCAGATTTTAAAGTGTATCTAAACCCAAAAGCAAAAATGTTATACAATGCTAAGTTTTTACTTTTAAGGCTTTTTTCTTTATTTTCACCGGGTGATCCGACCGGTAAGTCTGTTATTTTTCAACTTCATTTACCAGGCTAAGTTGTCCAGTAAAAGTAGAGGGTTGGGACAAACCATTTAACACTGACAGGGGTGCTTACAATGGTCAGCTTTATTAATATATGTAAAACTTTCATCCCAAAAGAGAAACAAAATAAATACAACTGTTGCTGTAACTGCTTAAAAAGTGTTAGCTGGATTTCCAATTTCAATTGTCAGTCAAGTCCATCTAAATTTGCTACTACATCTAACACTACCCTCTCCACGGGATGAAAATGCTCCTGTCCAAGGGTGGCTCCATGGAGTGGAGCCACCCAGAGACAGGGAGTGTGTTAGGGGTTGGATCATCAAGGGGAAATAAAAGGAAAGAAAGCCTAAAAAAATAAAATCCATTCAGCTATAGCATATAAGGATTGGTAAGCTGCATTCTATTAGATTTTGGGTTTTGGGTTTAGAAACACTTTAAGCTATAACATTTTCTTTGGAGAGGGAACACATGTCACGTTTTTATTGCTGTTTGTGTCCTCGTTAGGGAGATTCACCCTCTCAATTTGTTTTTGTTTTTTTGGGGGGTGCTGTCATCAGAACAGGAATAAATGGAAGATCTCCCACTAGTCCTGGTGACCCTGCTGACCACCAGGGATCTCCATCACTTTGGAGGGATTTTCTCTCATTTCCTGTAGAGGCTATAAGATAGGAAGTGAAGAGAAATCTCACCAATGGGACACATATGGCAAACTGACAGGGGTTATAATCCTCCTTTACTGTATCCAAACCTAAAAAAAGTTTGGCTTTGGTTCTACCATAAGTGGCATTCAACTTGGCAGAAGAAAAGCCAGGCTCACACAAAGTAAGAAGAGTTAAAATAGGGCAAATATAAAACTTTCTATAACAATTGAAGAGTACATATGTACATTCTTGCCTAGTCTTATTTGTGACTAGTTGTCTTTTCAAAAAACAATGGAGGATCCAAAAACAATGTAATCTCTTTATGGTGTATCCTTATTTCTAGGTAGCTGATTAGCAAAAGCATGGCATGACCTATGGGTATTTATCATAGCAAGCATGCAAAAAAGTGGAAATCACATTGAAAGTTAACGGTAAATCCTACAATATTCACCTAAGTTGTGTCCTCACTGCCGTGCTAGACTACGTGTCAAGGGTCAGATAGGGTTCTTGATGGCCCAAATAGGAACCTTAATGACTCACAGTGGTAAAAGATGACTAGAGGGTCAGGAAGCTTCCCTTAGAGGCCATGCAGTGCCGATCATTTAGAACGATGCACACTGTCACGCAGCGCGACACACAATCTGTGCACCACACAAAAATCTGCAGGAACCTTTCTTCTTCCTTTGCCATTCTAAATGAACCAGCTGCCTTAACACAACTTAGGTTAAAACACAAAAATTCCAAGTAAACGCTCATTTGGAAATGAATGGTGGGCCCGAAGTGCAAAAGAGCTTTGAGGGTGAACTCCGGCCTTCTCTTCAGTAGTGGAGTATGATTACTAATGTACTCCTGTGACCCAAACTCAACTGGCCTCTATTTGCTGACTGCAAAGATTGTGCACAATGTTGTTGGAATCCACCCCGCTGCCTGATTGACAGCTGGCTCTGTCTCTCTAGGGCCAAAACCAGCTGTGCCCGTCCCCTCCCTTGTCTGTCGACATCCACCCTGCTGCCTGATTGACAGCTGAGTCAGCCTTTCTAGAGCCAGAGCCAGCTATGCTTGTCCCCTCCCTTGTCTGTCAGGATCCAACCCACTGCTTGACTGACAGCTGGCTCTGCCTCTCTAGAGCCAGAGCCAGCTATGCCCATCCCCTCCCGTCTGTCAGGATCCAACCCACTGCTTGACTGACAGCTGGCTCTGCCTCTCTAGAGCCAGAGCCAGCTGTCTTCATCCAGTCCCCTGTCTGCCCTTCCAGTGAGAGATGGAAGCACATAGAGAGGGGAGGGCAGAATATCTGCGGAGAGTGGAGACTGACAGTCAAGCATAGAAAAGACCAAGAGCTGAGCGATCAGCTGTACCTGATTGCTCAGCTCTCGATCTATAGAGCCGCCATGTGACACCGGCAGTCTAAGTATTGGGAAGAGTACATTTTACTCCACCAATACTTCTCAATTAATAAGCAACATTGGCAGGAGCTTCCCTTACAGTGAACCATGTTTTACCAAACCATGCACAAAGCCAAAGAAAACTTTGGACAATACTTCCAACTTCTTCTTACCTTAACAGCTGACCTGCATGCTTGTTTTAAGGACAGATGGTCTGACGGGGAAAGGGGGGGAAGGGAGGCGTACGGCCTTTAGGCCAAGGCGGACTTGCTCGCGGGATGCCTTCTCTTCCCGTCACTGCGACAAAAACAGAAACATAATGTAACATTAGGCAGAACAAAACAAAAAAAAAGAAGAAAATGCAACAAATTTGCCAAATCAAGAAATATCTGCGGGAAAAAAAAAAGGTTAAAGATGAAATCAAACACGAAGGAGAAGCCATCCCGAGGCAAGGCCACCGGTGACGTCCTTTAGCCAAAGAAGCTAAACACTTGGAGGCAGAAGAATCCTTCATTTTCATCAGATCAATACCTGCTTATATTTATCACCATTCCACGCGGCCGCCACTCCTGACAACCTGCATTTTAGCCGAGCGCGCTCGAGCCGGGACAATGCAGCTTTTAATACTATTTACACCTGAAGTCACAATTCCATTAAGAGGCCCTGTTTTGTTAAAGGCACAGAGATTGATATTATTATATTGGCAGATGCTTTAAAACCCCTTTGTTCTTTTCTTCTTCTATTTTTTTTTTTCCTCCCTCCCGTCCTCTGTGTTCTTGATCTAGTCTGTGCCAAAAGCTTTTCTAACTGCTTAATACTTGAGCATATTTTTTTTCCCTATTTTTAAGCTTTTTTTGTCCAAACTTACCAATTTGCGGTAGAGCCTTGCTGCTAAAAGAACGGCGGTCCTAATCATCTGTACAACAATATTTGCTATCAAGCATCCTAAATAGATTATCATTCGTCCATCTGTGTGATTATTGATTTATAAGGGACATAAGCTGCTTTAAAATGGAAGTGTTCCCACTAAGGGCTCCTTGTATAAATCACACATGTCCTCAGATATAACACCCATCTTTCAACATATTGTCCCCCCC